GTTGACTGTGGACTTCAGAAAACACAGTGGACCAAAGTCCTCTTTTCAGATGAAAGTAAATTTTGCATTTCATTTGGAAATCAAGGTCCCAGAGTCTGGAGGAAGAGTGGAGAGGCACAGAAACCATGTTGCTTGAAGTCCAGTGTGAAGTTTCCACAGTCAGTGATGATTTGGGCTGCCATGTCATCTGCTGGTGTTGGTCCACTGTGTTTTCTGAAGTCCACAGTCAACGTAATCCATTGTAAAAGTGGATGCAACGTGTTCATTGTGTTACAAATCATCATAATCTTAAAAGCTATAACCACAAATAAGTAAATATTATAATATATTAAAACTGTTCTTATGAATATTCATGAGATGATACAACATATTATAAGGTTTTTTATAATGCATTATGCATTCATTATAATGTATTATAGAATACCCTTATAATGTATTATAAATACGGGCTTCATAGAAAGTGTTACCAAATTCACACATGCATTCAACAGTCTACAGTTAAAACCATTGAAAAGCCAGACAATGTAATTTGTCTGCATTTTTCATGTTTTCCAAAGCGACTTTATAAAGAATAGTGCCTTACAAACCTGTAAAGTATAAAAATGTCATCAGATGACCTCTATTATCCGGTGGGGGGGTGATTGTAATACTGTTGACAGTAGTGTTGATGCTGATTGCATGTCTGGTTTGTGTGTGTAGGATCCGTCAGTTCTCCCACAGAAGTCTCCTCTCCACCTAACGTGGGTCTGAGACGCAGTGGACAGATCGAAGGTGTTCGCCAGATGCACAGTAATGCTCCACGCAGTGAGATCGCCACCGAGAGAGACCTGGTGGCCTGGAGTCGACGGGTCCTTGTTCCTGAACTATCACCAGCTGTAGCATGGTAAAACACACAGAAATAGTGTGGACGCCAATAGTCTTAGACCGCACTGCAAATCTAGCTTTCAAAAGCTATGTTAAACCTGGAAAAAAGCAGAAAGGATTTGAAAAATGTAAGGCAAACGATGTAATATTTTCACAGGCACCTGCTACTCAAACAAGACCTTATCATGTCTGAATTTTCTGTTGTTTCTAACAGTGTAATGCAGTTTGCTCCAGTTAGACGGTGTTGTTGATGCTTTTATGTGTCTGTTTGTGAATGCAGTAAGCAGGAGATCTGGCGTACAGCTAAAGGAGAGGAGGAAATCAGCATCTACAGATCAGAAAGGAGGAGACGCAGCATACACAGCCAGTACCACAGAGAAAACCGGGTGAATTATCATATCTGATCATCAATTTGAAAATATATACAAAAAATCTGGATGAACTAGTCTGCCTCACTATTTGATTGGATGAAATGTACTGTTTGCATCATACAGCATTGTACGCCACCAAACTTTTATATCTAACTAATGGCGCTTTTCCACTGCATGGTATGTCACGGTACGGCTCGGTATGGTTCACTTTTGGGGGGTTTTCCACTGGGTACAGTACCTGGTACCTGGTACTTTCTTTAGTAAAACCTCGGTTGAGGTTCCAAGCGAACCGTACCGTTACCAAAACGTGACGTGTAAACTCTGCTGATCACGGATTGGCCGGAGAGAATCGTCACTCCCTGCGTCACTGAACCTGCGACACAAACACAACAGAACCGCTAGATTTAAATCAGCCCAGCCAGTGAAGGAACTGTTTTGAACGAGCGCACCTTTTTTAACAACCAAAAAGTGGCTGTTTCGTTGTCTGTTGAGGAAGTACAGACGTTCCTCTCGTTGATAGCAGAGGAGCGGATCCAGCGAGCTTGATGGGGCGACGCGGAATGCATTTTTTTTTCAGGAGTCACGGCAATAGAGGCGATGCAACGACATATGAATAATCCCGCCCACTCTAAAGCGGTACTGTACTGCAGTGGAAACGCAAACCGAGCCGTGCTGTCATACTGTACTGAGCCGTGCTGAGCCGAGTCGTACCACGCAGTGGAAAAGCGCCATAAATGTATCTTGATGACATGTTGCTAAAGCCATTGTTTTTGTTTAACATGCAAATTAAATGCAGTATGTGTACTGAAGTGTGTATTTCTCATATCAGCATGCTATAGAAAATTCTGTAGAGGAGGGGCGTCGTTACCAGGGTAACCAGCATAACTACCATACACGATTGGCCGTGGAGGAAACGAGTCGTCAGAGTGAACCCAACGAGGAAGAACACAGTGCCTCTGAGGTACTGTCAAAAGATGCAGTGTCCCTTTATGGAATAGTAAAGTCAATGTAACTGCCCATTTAATGGACTTACACTACCATTCAAAAGTTTGGGGTTGATAGGATTATTACAGTTTACAATAACTGTTTTCTATTTGAATATATTTTAAAATGTAGTTTATTCGTCTGATGGCAAAGCTGATGAATATGAAGTTCAAAAGAACAGCATTTATTTGAAATAGAAATCTTTTGTAACAATATGAAAGGCTTCACTGTCATTTTTGATATATTTAATGCATCCTAATGCATCCTTGCTGCATCTTACTGACCCCAAACTATTACAGGTAGTGTACATGAGGATGATTTAAGAGAAAAATGTATGGGACTTCCATCAGGAATTGATTGAATCAGGAAAAAAGGTTTCCGTATGACAGATGTTTGAAATGTAAAAGGGATGTTCTATTTCAGAGGCATGGCATGTTATTACCTTTTGTTAAAAGACTGTCATAGATGAATCATTCACTATACAGGAATGTGTATTACGGAAGTACATAGGGTCAGTTTTAAATTCATGTTGACTTGAACATTTAAAACTGAAATTGTTTCATTTATTGTGGTGATTGGCTTTTTATTGCCATTGTGTCTAAAGTGTTGTTCCATCTGTAGTGTTAAAATCTCTGTCAGAAGTGTGAGTGGTCCATTCATAGTGTCAATGTTGCATCCTTAGCAAGTTTCTCAATCTATAGAACGAGTAATAACAGATTAACACTTTTTTTGAACAGGCTTTTTTTTTTCAGAACAGGCTTTTTTTTCTTAACCAATAATATAGCAAGACAAAAATGCTGAATTATAAAATTAATTTTCTGGAGTAGTGACATCAGACTTGGTGTGTTGATTTGAAAACCAAATTTCCAATGTAAAATATATTGAAATCTTATGTTGAAACCATTGGTGTGTTCTGAAAATGGCATTAAAAGAGTGTGGAAATCTTCATTCATTTTTTAGGGTGAAACCGAAGCAAGACCTCCGAGCAGAGAATCTTCAGATGAAGAGAGAGAGAAAAAAGAACCCTGGCCTGATGATAACAGCAGTTCCAGGTGAATATTCATTACCCTCAAACTTCATATGCCACAGTGCCGTATATTTGACATACACATACTTCAGCCAGAGCCACACATATATGCTGGGTCTGTTTATAATTACAGCGATTACTCCAGCGATTACTCAGACTGGACAGCAGATGCTGGAATAAACCTCGAACCGCCCAAGAAGACCAGCGTGAAGAAAAAGAAGAAAAATGCCAGCAGCTCCGAAGAAGATGGAGAGAAGAAAAAAGACTCCAAAAAGGAGAGGAGGAAAGAAAAGCAGGACAAAGATGGAGCACTACCAAAGAAGAAGAAACCAAAAGAGAAACGGAAGGTCAGTGGTCCTTTGTGTGTTAATTCAGCTATGGACACCTCCCTTAAAACATGCTTATCAAGCTCACTTGTTTCTTGAATTTGTCCATTGACAATGTTCAATACTGCAATTATGTGTCAAAGGAGACTTCTGTCATTCTGTTTTTATTTTTGTTTCCGTAAATCGTTATGAACAGATGTCATTTCCACCATATTTTTATGTAATAAAAGTTCAAATATTTTGTTTATTTTACTTCTTGATGAGGTCATGGTTCTAAAAAGTCTACATCTGAGACAAGAAAATCCACTGACAAATGAAAAGTAGCAATTACTTAATGAATTAATGTTGAAATCTGTTTTTATCATTTAATTAAAACAAAGAATAACTCCTGGGACATAAAGGTAACAGTTTAAATTCCATTGACACTGTTTCAGTTAACTCAAATATTTGGTTGTGGTGAAAATGATGCCATAGCTGAGTCATCAGTGTTTATTTGAGTAAAAATATGACTAATTTTTATGTAATAAAAGTTCAAATATTTTGTTTATTTTACTTCTTGATGAGGTCATCATGGTTCTAAAAAGTCTACATCTGAGACAAGAAAATCCACTGACAAATGAAAAGTAGCAATTACTTAATGAATTAATGTTGAAATCTGTTTTTATCATTTAATTAAAACAAAGAATAACTCTTGGGACATAAAGGTAACTGTTTAAATTCCATTGACTCTGTTTCAGTTAACCTTCAGATTTGTGTGAAAGTCATGATATATATATATATATATATATATATATACTGTATATGTGTGTGTTTGTGCATTTTTAAAAAAAATTTTAAACAGTTAAAAAAATATTTTAAAGTTACTTAACAGTTAAAAATTTTAGTACATTTTTTATTTTAATAGTAGAGATATTCAACTAATTGTCTGTATGTATTGTATTTGTAATGTGTTTTTTTTAAACTTAATTTGTTGCTTTCTGTTAATGACTGCTTGTACCTGATACAGAGTTGATGAGCATGCGTAATTGTGTCTGATTTGAGATGGATTTATTTTGTCAGGTGATCGTTTCCGGGCAGTGATAGACGATGCCTGGTGGTTTGGTATGATTGAGAGTCAGGAGCCTTACCAGGCCGAATATCCAGACTCTCTGTTCCAGTGCTACAATGTCTGGTCAGTTCTCTGTGTCTACACATCTTTACACGTGTTGTAGAGTAATTCAATTATTGTTACATTGTGTCCTAACCAGGCTTGAAGCCATGAGACCACAATCAGTACACCCTATTAGTGGTCGACCGATATATTGCCAAGGCCGATATACGTATGAATAAACAGAACTAAAGTATTTTGTGTTGAAAAAGATGTTTTTGGAATTTCCTTGTCTGAAATATAGCTTTTCTTATTTTCATTGATGACTATTACAGTGCCAATCCTTTCAATGCTTTTTTGAAGATATCTCTGGCTATCGTCCATACATGGTGTCATAGTTTGCTCAACCCGAGTATTTCACACGTATAGTGTAAGCACATAAATCGTGAGCTTTGGCTTTATATCACATGCGATGTACTCGTACGGTGTGAGTTGGTACCTTGCTGAAATCGCGCAGAAATTGCACAGTGCTCGGCCTAATACGGATAGAAGTCTGTCTAAGATTCAGATAGAACTGTTAAACAAAGGAATTAAATGGCATACAAAAAAATATTATAACTATTGTTTTTATATTATTAGTATTACAAAGGCAAACATTATAATACTTTCTCATGAACCAGCATTCAGCAAATAAGCATTTATATAATTTAAACAAACCGTTGAATGTCTAATAAACATTTAGGGTGTGTTCACACTTGTCATGTTTGGTTCGATTAAAACGAACCCTGGTGCGATTGCTCTGTTAGTGCAGTTTGTTTGAGTAAGCATGAACGCTGCCATCCGAACCTTGGTGCGCACCAAACAAGCGGACCAAGACTGCTAAAAAGATGGGTCTCAGTCTGCTTCCAAACGAATTCTGGTGCGGTTCGAATGAAATATGAACGCAACACGGACCAAACACTTCTAAACGAACCAAAAACAGGAAGTAATGACAAGATGCGACGCTATGCAACATGATTTGACGACGTGGAACGAGCGGTGTATCCAAAACAAAATGAGCAGAGGGCAAACGTGGAGCATCAAGGAGGTAAAGTGCTGTTTTTGAGCTCTCCATGAGTTCACAGGTGGTGAAAATATAATCATAAGTACACGCAGCAATGAGCGTGCTTAGTCCAGCAGACGGCATTAGGTGTGTTCTACTCAAAGCGGCGCTGCAGATCGATCGGTGAATGGGTACTTTGTTAATGAGACACCGATCGGTCTGTGCAGCGCCGCTTTAAGTCGAACACACTTTTGTTTGGGGTGTTTGGTGAGTTCCGTCGCGAAATATATGTCATTCAACCCGACCAATCAGGTTATGAACGTATCACTATGCCTTTAGGTTCGGTATCTTTAGGTTTGCTGTCAAAAATGCCAGTGTGAACGCTCAGCGGACCAGGACCAAATGTATCGTTTTCTTTTTTGGTCCGGACCAAACGAACCAAGAGAACCGAACTACAAGTGTGAACGCTCCCTTAATTTCACAAACCTTGCAGACTTAGTCGAATTCAGCTGTGAGATCTTGTGAAGTGTGCATTTCTATCCTGTATGATCGCATGTACTCTGTGTGACGGTCGGTCCGTGCAAATTTAATAAATCGACAAACTTTAAACTTGGGATTTCAAACTGTGCTGCGCTTTATCCATTTTGTCCACTGTCATATTCATGTCATTTTCACTGTGTGCTGTATGTAAAATGAGTGTTACCTTGGCTTTATTAAAAAAAAAAAAAAAGATTCCCAGTGCACACAAACTTCCCCGTTAGTTACAGTGTTTGTTCCTTTTATTTATATATTTTAAAATATTTCTTTATTTGTGAAAAGTATTGTAATAGGATTACAGAATCAAGTTTTCATCTAAAGTATGTTTATTTTACACATTTATCTTTTAGGGTTTTCACAGGTCTTTAAAAAGTTTTAAATTTAGTTGTACCAAATTTAAGGCCATAAAAAGTCTTAAATGGTACAAGAAAGTCTTAATTATGATTTCAAGAGGTCTTAAATTTGGGGACGGAAAGACAAGAATTGATATACAGCTAATTGCTCCATAACTTCACCCCCTCTTCGACTAAATTTAAGACTAAACATGGTTTATTTGGAGGTTTAGAAACTATAGTGAGCTTAGTGTGGTGTTGCAAACATTTTTTTTGTGTGTAATAGTAGATGACAATATTGACAGCTTTGTGTTATTGTGCGATGCAGCTGGGATAATGGAGATACAGAAAAGATGAGCCCATGGGACATGGAGGAGATTCCCAATGAAGGTATGACGTATCTCAATTACTACAGCTGTCATTAGAATAAAATAACTTTGATTTGTCCATTTAATTAATATCTAATTTTTATATATATATATATATATATATATATATATATATATATATATATATATATATATTTTTTT